GGCGCCTGCCACAACGCCTGGACATTTTTTGGTTGCAGCCATCATTTTGTTTGGCGGGCCCGGGCTGGGGATTCGAACCCGCCACCTTAGGTGTATGTGGCTGGCGCCTTAGCCGCTTGAGCCACAGGCGCAGAGCCCATACCCACATTCTTAAGGGCCCTCCAGACTTCCTGGTGCCAGGTTTTCTTCCCACTCCCCTTAAATCTCATTTTTAGTGTCCCTTTTCAATAAGAATGGGACGGGGCTGGGTCACAGGACTTAGAAAAACCAGTGACACTCCAGGACAGTGTAGGCCTTCTGTGCTTGGAAACCACAATGAACTGGGCTCAGTGCCTCACATGTCCTTGTCTTAAACCCTGAGGCCTTTGCACAAGCTGTGCTTATATTGGGAGCACCTTCCCCTGTAGTCAGTTTGGCTCCTACTAGTGCATCATGTCCTCCAGGACCACTTTCCTATCCTTGCACTGAACTAAGGCTTCTCTGACACCAGCACCAGGGCCTCCATAGCCCTATATGTCCTCTACCACCACAGTCATCAAACCATGTTTTTATTAGTGGGGCTCCCCTGGGGGCAGGGCCTGGATCCCTGGTATCTCTTCACCTCTAGCCTCAACCCAGGCCTGGCCTCTATTGAAGGAGTACGTCTGTTGATGATGGGTAGTAAAGGGCGGCGCCTGTGGCTTAAGGAGTAGGGATCTGGCCCTGGCCTCATTTACCAGGGGTGGTGGGTTCAAGCCTGGCCCCTACCAAAACTGCGAAGAAAAAAAAAAAAAAAAGATGGCTGGGAACCAGAAGCCATGTCCAGGAGAAGGGTCTGGCACTCATGGAGAACAAGGGCTAGTTGGCAACAGTGATGAATTCCCTTTAGGACTGACTGATTTTTGAGTGTTTGTGTACACCATAAAGGGAACTCTGTGTGCATTGGAAAGAAGGTATGTTAATAGGGCTTTACCCAGCCGTGAGGTATAAGGATGTTGTTTCCCTCAGGTGAGAAGTCATATTGGGGGCAGAGTTTTGTAGTCCTTTTTTGACTTGCAAAACATTTCTAGGAAATTTTAAATAATTTTCTTCATTTTTGAATAGTACAGGATAGGGCAGTGCCCATAGCTCAGTGGGTAGGGTGCTGGCCACATACACTGAAGCTGGCAGGTTCGAGCCCAGCCCGGCCAGCTAAACAACAATGACAACTGCAACCAAAAAATAGCCAGGCATTATGGTAGGCGCCTGTAATCCCACCTACTTGGGAGGCTGAGGCAAGAGAATTACTTAAGGCTCAGCGCCTATAGCTCAACCGGCTAAGGCGCCAGCCACGTACACCTAAGGTGGCGGGTTCGAATCCCCAACCCGGACCCGCCAAACAA